ACATATGAAAGTCCATCATGTCTCCGCTTGGAGCGACATCTCTCGAGCCTTCACGTTTCGCGCTGCCACCTCAAAGTACTTTTCAGCACCATTAGATGCTCCTTCTTCAATACATATTGAGACATTTAGCAACACTGTTTTCCTTGCAATGTGCTGTCGTAAATCCGATATCGTTAAGTATGGCATCCACGAGTAAACATCTGAATTAAGGGAGCGTCACACAATGATAGTAGTGATCAAGAAAAAAGTGAAGTGGAGGAAGGCCAAGGTAATTTCTCTTGGCGACACTGACTATAATAGTGGCTTACTTTGGGAGGATATCGATGATTACCATGGAAGTGAATTATTTTCTGGTCATTCTGGACCTCAAAACTCTGCAACAAGTGTTCAAGATTATATGTTTTTATTATTTTCGGTAGAGACAGAGTAATCCCATCGCTGCCGTGCACTAGATTTTGTGATAATTAGAATTATTGGTACAGAGTTTGTTTACCAGTAACATGTAACAGGCAAAGACAGTGGGACATAGTCACATCCTTGGGGAACCCTTCACACGGAACTCAGTCCGAGGATGGCGAAGGACATAAGATGGAAACTGACCCCTCCCCAATTGGAAGAGATCACTAAATAAACGCATACAAACACCATGAAATTTCTTAAAATTAATCTACACCACAGCAAAGCTCCCATGGCAACTCTGTGCCAACTGAGGGTAAGGCAGATATAGCACTTATTCAGGAGCCTTGGTTATACAAGGGGCAAATAAGGGGCTTAACTAACACAGGGGGAACAGTTTACTCTGCGATACCCAATAACAATGCAAGATCCTGTGTTTATATAAGGAATCATGTTAATGCCTTGCCTTTGCTGAAGCTCTGATCTAGGGATGCAACAGCGGTAAGGGTAACATACATGTATCGAGGAGGCAGCAGGGAGCTGATTATTGCTTCAGTCTACCTTCCATATGACTCAGATGAATCACCACCAACTAAGGAGACTACTGCTGTAGCAGGAAGAAGCAACTCATTATTGGGTGTGATGCCAACGTGCACCACATCTTGTGGGGGAGCACGGGCACTAACCCAAAGGGAACGGAATTTCTGGTGACTTCGAACCTGAATATTCTAAACCATGGTAACGACCTTACCTTTGTGGTTTGCAATAGGAAGGAGGTTATTGATTTGACACTAGGGACAAATAACATAGGAAACCTGGTAAGTAATTGGCATGCATCTGATGAGCCGGCCCTATCGGAGCACAGACATATATGCTCTCACTTCTAAGTAATACAATTCAAAAACGTTCTTATTACAAAAGAAAAAATTTTACATCAACATCTAGACGACAAAAATCAACAACTACACATAGTGAGCATCATAAATGTTTTAAGTGTTCCTACTCTTAAAAACTTTAACGCATTAGTGGATTCCTGATCGTAGAGGCATACCTCTGATGATGATTCATTATGAATCGAAACATGTTGGGTAACTAAGTGCTAAAGTGGTGGAAGCATTATATATCACACTGGACTGAAATAAACTTAATTGTAAACCTGTTAGTGTGACAGACCAGAATGAAACAAATTAAAAATCTCTCAAATAAGCAACATTACAGTAGATCAAGCTACTTATAGGAATCATAAGAGAACCAATTGGGAGTCTTACAAAGACGATTTAAAGGTTAATATGGAGACCATCTCATGAAATATTTGCACAATAAAGGATGCTGATCAGTCTGTTGACCAGTTGCAACGGGCTATTATCTCATCCTTTAATCGGAATTGTCCTGCTAAGACCACTCGTGGACACTGCACTCTCTGTGCACCATCATAAGGACTTCATGAACTTCTATTCACGCAATATTCTTGATCTCTGTACAACATCTGTATCAACATCATTTATATTAAATATTTCACTGTATTGTACTGTGAGTTCGACTTGGATTTCAATCCTTAAGTGTCCAACGTACTACGAGGAACAGTCTCCCGCTTGGCTAACCTCTCGAATCCCATCACCATCATCGGGATACAACATGTCATACCACATTTGTGGTGTCAGGTGTGGGATTGGACACAGCCAACCAACAAGTACGAGCAGTAGATTGGAAACTTCAACCAATTCATCTCGACGATTCGTCATAATAATCTCTTAAGAGGTTGCCTAAGAGTCGTAATTTCGCCCTTTGCGGGAGAGTGTACTGGTTCTGACCTGCTCTCCCATTAACCAGTTGCTTCTGCATCTTTCATCACTCCAGCTATGCTTAACGTTTGGGTCCACGAGCTCTGGCCGGAGGTAGACTGACTACGAGACAACACCATCACATAGTCATATAATCATCGAGATCTTCTAGACATCAAGGCTAATTCTAGAGGCCACCGAAAAGCCTATCTGAGAAGAAGCCTGTATCTATTCCAAGGACCGAGTATTGAGACCAGCTTCCTTGCCTAGTGAAGCTGCACCCAATCCACATCTCCACCTCTCACAGGTACTTCGTGGGACATCCCCTGCGCCAACCGCAGCCCCGAAGAACATCAATTGGGTAAGCCACACTCAAAAAATTTTTGTATTCCTTGGAAGTCAGCTTTAATATCATTTTGTAAGATTTCGGTTACGAATCAGGAAGATTTTCCTGTAGGGCAGGGGCTGAGCTCTGATTTTAACTAGACTGAGAAGACATTAAGCTAAGAAAGTAGTAAGTTAAATTTTGTAATACACTGTAAAATTTTTAGCAGAGATCAAATAAGTGAGACATGGAGGCACATAACACTAGCGATACTGACTCTGCCGCCGATGAAGGCGGGCAGTACTGTAGCATCACAGACGCCATGAGATTAGTCACACATCCTTTCGATGGGGATAAGCGAAAATTAAGGGAATTTATGGAAAACATGGACGTTCTTTTTGAACTAGTGCACCCCAGCAAACACGACACATTGCTGAAGTCTGTAAAAGCTAAGATCACAGGAGATGCCCGACCGAAATTAATGGTAAGAGACCTAACAGACAGCTGGAAGCTGGTGAAGGTATTTTAGAAGAAAACTACGCCACGAGGCATGCATTAGATTATTACACTTGTAAAATGTTTAACGCTCGTCAGGATAAGAGCGAAAGTATAGCTTCATGGGGAAAGAAAATAGACAAATTGCAGACCGACTTAAGGGAGCCAGAGGCCTTATAAATCACTTAGGGAAGGCCTGTCTCATACAAGGACTCCACAGCGAACGAATTCAAACTATCGTTCGTAGTAGTGGAGAATCCATCCTCCTCTCTCAGGCTATAGAAATTTAATTGGAAAAGGAGAGCGCTATCCTCTCCAAGAAAAGAGAGATCGCCCACCGGAGCTAATGGGCCCCCCTTGAGATGCAATAAGTGCAATAAGATCGGCCACACGGCCAGCAGATGTTTGAACTCAAACATTTATCGCCACCCTGAGTTACGGACTGTCGGTAGAGACAGATCCAGTGATGTTGTAAGGTTTGTCGGTAGAGACAGACGTGATTTTAATAATGTAAGGGTTGTCGGTAGAGACAGGCCCAATGTTAATGCAGTTTCAAGTTGTTGCAATCGTGAGGGGCACGACGCAGACTTTTCGGCCGATGTACAGGTTATGAGTTGTGTTAATTGCGGTTGTGGCAACCACATCGCAAAAGATTGTCCGCAGGGACGGACGTGTAGAAAGTGTGTTCGCAGGTCACACAGCTGATGTAATTAGATCCCAAGGAAAGGGATGGGTTAATTCGGGAAATGGTGGAAGGGAGTTGTCGAGCAACCTGACTGCCCGGCCGAACAATCAAGTGGTTGTCCACAAATTAGAATAAACAAGTGCAAGAAGCATTATAAATCAAATTTGGATACCATGACCTTAGGAGTTGATTTAAGTAAAACAAATGAACTAAAATTCTTGATTGACACGGGCGCCGATATCTGTTTAGTTAGAAGTTCAAGCTTAAAATCAGAAGTCGAGATTAGTCGCAGTGAAGGCATAAATGTTAAGGGAATTTCAAATACCATCATGAGAACCAAGGGAACAACTGAATTAACCTGTTGCCGTGGTTCGTCGTGTATGTTTCGTCAGGGATTTAAATCGTCTGGGGGGGTTCGGCGTGTATGTTTCGTCCAGCTGCACACCTATGTTATAACGCCCATAATAATTGATGGTTTTGCTGTAGATTGTTAGATTTTTCGCTGGCCTGTTGTCACAAGAACAGAGTATACTAAGCCAACGAGTTTAGCTGAGATAAGTCATCGTTACATATGCCTGTCTTGCAGCAAATTCGTGTTGCTTCTTGTAGCGGTTTCGTCACTCAATGGCGTATTTGCTTTGCTTGTGAAGTAATAAACACCAGAGAGGTGATGTGTGCTGTTGTATATAATATCATATTGCCCTGAGCTGGCCACACAAACACATTCCATTGGAATTCTTAGAAGAGGGTTGTCCAAAATGTTATTCTCGTAAAATCGATTGCTTTCGCACAGTACATAGCACCCATTTCTTAGAAATACGCCACAATTTAAGGCAGAACACTGTGGTCACCCCCTGAGACGATACGGATGTGTGTGGGGGAGGGAAAAGTACTCATT